TCAACGGGATGACTTGCAAAATTATTCACAGCAAATAATATTGAGAGTGAAAAGTGAATAAAAACAGGCAGCAGTGCCAGAGAACACTGTGCCAACAGAAAGAAATGAGGGATTTGTGTGAGTATTTCAAACAAAAAAAAACACATCACTTCAAGAAGGCTTTTTTGAAAGTTCCCATCAGACTATAAAGAGATAAATTAAAATTGTTTCACTTATGTACAAACACAAACCTCTTGCGCTGCAGACGCTTCTCACTTTAACCTTTCAACACATACTCTGATATGCACACTGCAACGCTGCTAACTGCATTGAGCGCTGATGTATGAAATGCAAATAAGTTTAAATTGAAGTGAAGCATTTATCAGTTAGTCTCTTGTGTTTGAGCTGGAACTAAATCACTCTTTGAATAGGCACTTCAATTACTCCTGGTATCTACAACGAACAAGCAGAGGCAATATCACACACACACAACACACACACGCAATACATCCAATTAATCTCCTGAGGAACAAAGGGAGGCTTCTAATCAACACAGGACAGAGAACAAGCAGTGGCACAACAAGCATGGTAATAGCAGACAGATAAGGTAGATAATTGTAAAGATGCTGTAAAGATAAGAAGCGAGGGTGAATTCTGTGCTCTCTCAAAATGGAGTCCCTATAATCAAACATAAATGATAAACAGCAGGGGGCTGCAGCGGTTGTTTCCAGAGGTGTAATTGGTTAAATTGGAAAATTTACATTTTTTCCCACCCTATCTTTAAGGAGGCTGGTGTGAGTAAATAACACCACATTTGTAAGGGTTGAGATCACATGCACTCTTTATCTTACTAAAGATTGTGAGCAGATCCAGCAACTTAAAAACAGGATGTTAGCAGCACCTTTAGAGCGTCAATCAGTCCATACTCCCTGGCAAACTACAGCACTGGTGGCTACAGTTTGGCCTGCTAGCCCGACTGATGTGCTACTCCATAGAACTGACAGCACCCTGGGAGGATGCTGTTGATGAAGTGGATGACAGGATGCGGAGATGGCATCTGAGGCAGAACAACAAGGCTGGAGAGCAATAGTCCGCCCAGTGGAGTTTGGCTGCAGGGGCTTTATTGCAACATCCACCATCAGGTTGCTCAAAGAGCTAGAAATCCATGGACAAGCCCTCCAGACCATAAAAGAACCATTAAGGACTGCAGAGTGCTGCAGCCGATGGCTATGGATCGCAAGGAAAGACCCAGACTGAGCCCCAGGTTTGATCAGTCTGTGGTGAGCCTGCCTTAGAAGAGGGTGTCTTGTGATTAAAAGGGTGAAACACCCGCTGGCACAAAGGTACACACAACTGATATGTCCCGAACATCCGCTGGTGGTTGGCAATTTATCATCAAGCTAGTGCTGAAGCCCTTCAGACATACAAGGGATATTCACAATCTTGTCCCATGTTTTAAAATAAGCTGGGCAAACATTGAAAGCAAATGAAACTTGGTGCAAAAACTACTTGGAATTCATCTTTTTGGTTTGTTTTTCCTCCTCCTATTCCCTCTGCTTTATGAAAATGCTGGACACATCCTTACCTTCTCAGGCTCACAGGGCTTTAAAAGCATGGATCTAGATTTGTATAGGACTTGTGTGATTTTGAGTGAATATCTTTTGGACAGCTGGATTGTACTGATAGGCTTTCTCAACTCAGGGAGAGTGAACAATGTGTGTTAAGAGGAGTGATCCATCCTCTAGTCCGTTACCAAGGCTGATAAAGAGCTAGGGTGGAAAAAAGCTGTGCTGTGTGTGTTATTGCATGGTTGTGTTCACGTATATACACGATGGCTCCTGTCAGATGTGACATTCCTGAGTGTTCGATCGACAAGGAAAAAAGAAGCCTCTCTCCATTGCTTTCCTTTTGCTACACTCCTTTCATTCCCCTCTGCCCACGACCCTCTCGGGGTGAGAATTGCAAAATCAATAGAGCTAAATGGAGTTGCCTCGGAAGCATCTAAGTGCTTGAGGAACAAGGACAGTAAGAAGCAGCTGTAACACCCCATACTTACCTCTTCACCTTCCTCCTTCTACACACCAAACCCTTTTCTCTCTACTACTCTACTGAGCTTGTGCTCATTGCTATCACATGTATCACAAGTGTCAATGTGTCATTTTGATGATATAAAATATATTGTATAGCATAAGCAATGACAGGTTATAAAACACGAAAGTAGTTTGTAAAAATGTTAACGTGGAAACATGGTCTATCATGTTGTCATGGTTATTGTCTGTGTGTGGTTTTGCACGGCGGCACTCTGCCATCAGAGGCGTGGTGTGTTAGAGACTCATCTGTTTCTCCATTCTGGCGCTCCCTTTTCAATGTGACCACCCCCACTGTCAGGTTAAAGGCAGAACAACAACAATGCTGTTTCTGTGTAGAACAGGCAGTTTAAGAGAAGCTTCACTGTGCATTTGCATCATGTGACATTTTTGTGCTCACAATATTTTTTTTAATCCAATTTATATGAATTCATAATATATGGATATATACTTGAAATTACTGTTTTTCATTCTCTTTACTTTTATGAGGAAATTAAATCAAACAAAATGAAAAATGGGGTAAAAACACAGGCCAAGATGCATAAAATCTGACTTGAACTTTTTCACAGCCGACTGAAATCAGTTTGCAGTACAGGACATGTGTTTGCAGTACAGTCTGAGTATCTTAGTGTGACATGTATGTGAAACGTACTCCATTTTCAGTGCCCTTTATAAATAAAATCACACTTTATATAAGCTAAAACTAAAGTGTTTAGTTACTACACCAGTAATTTATCTCAAATGGCTGCTCACCATCATGTGGAAAAGTGAATGAAGGAGCCATTTGGCAGCCATTGACTTGTCATAACTTGAAAAGTACAGGTGAAACATTTATAGAGGCTGATATAATACCAAAGTGTTAAGTTATTCTTCTGGAGAAAAATACTGCAAGTTCAGCAATGGAAAGCAACTTTTGTTTTGCCTTTTTAAACCGTATTAACCATTGAATTGTTTCTTGTCCTTTTGTAAATAGAAGATGGTAATGATTTTTCAAGAAATTTCAATGTATCTATAAATTAACTAGAAAACATTACCATATTAATGGTTTATTTATGTAAGATAAAATAATCATTTAAAAAATGCATTTTCACAGTTCTCTGCACCTCCCAGTTTTTTTGAAGTCTGCAGCTGTTTTCAAAGACACAGTGCTCACTTCTCTTTGACACAAACACCTTGTGCTGCTTCAGGGCACACATCAGGTTTTGATGTCAGTTCTTTGGATTTAGAGAACAATGGTTTCTTTTTAGATCCACCATTTGTACAGAGTCTAAAAAACACAGAGGCTTTATCAAATGTAAAATAGGTAGAGACACCAGATTGTCTTTTAGTTTTTTGTAGCCTCTAGACAATAATACAATCCAGCTGCATCTCATCTATAACTCCATATACAAAATCATCAAAGCAGTTTCAGTGCTTTTCTAGCTGCATATAAGTGCATGATGTCATTTCTCTTGTTATCGTACAGTATTTTATTTTCATTTATATTAAATCAAAGTCTCTACACAAGTGATTTGTACTAGTGAGTAACTCAACAAATTCTCTTTGGCTGCACTGCATGCTTCCTCTGTGGTCCTGCACAAGATCCAACTCAAGGAGCAAATGGGATCCCTGCTATCTATGCACTGTAAATATGTGTGGGAGAGAATTAATGAGGGAGAGCGAGAAAGACAATGAGAGAACGACAGGGAGCGAGACTGAAACCCAGGAGAGTCTGGAGGTTGTTTGCTGAGAAAACTCAACCTCTGAGGGCCTCAGGAGAAAAGGGCACCAGAATGAGAAAAACACTTTCCGATCTACCTTTGACTTAGAACAAACAGCTAGCAGGTTGGAAGGTACACATGAGAAAAATACATTTTGTTGTACCTGTGACTCACAATAACAACTCTGACTGAAACGTACACACCAGCACCAGAAGACATAGTGGTGAGAACACACATTGTGAATTTCTTCCAACTCTTGTATGCAATTCTCCATGCAAACATCAGACAAGAATTAAGAAGAAAAGTAGCTGTTAGAGTCGACGCACATGCAAGCAAAGGCTCACAAATGCATGAGCACACGCACAGAAATTCAAGTCTCTAATCTGCTTATGAGCATAAACTCTGGAGAGCTTGCTGTAATTGTAAAGCATTTTCTAATAACTGCAGTGTGAGGTGGATATAAGCTGCATCCCGAGGGTAAACAATTAGATTAGATTTACATCTTCTATGCATTATTATCGTGCTGGAGAGAAACCGTCGAAAGGGGAGATTCCCGTACAAGAGAGTTCATTGGCTTATCATATTCATCTCAGCTCCAGGGATTCTGTTTTATTTTTTATTTTTTTACAGTAGATTATTCTCTGCTCAGGGAATGCTTGGTGAACTGCAGGCGCCCCTCTGCTGGAACCAAGCATTCACCTTGCTGAGGTCTCCTACGGCAAGACTTTTAATCTTGCCAGCTCCACAGTCGCTGGTCTGACCCTGCTCTGTTATATCTCTAAAGGACTGACAATATATGTAAAACTTCAATTCTTTATCTTTATATTTAGATAAAGGCATACAAGGACTGTGTAACATATCTTTTGAAAGCAAGCAGCTTCATACAGTGCATCTCTTTCTTTTCAAAGGCTTCCTGCAAGACTGAAACAGTGAGCTTCAGAGCAAATTAGTTCAACAACTTCCCAAAAGCATGACAGATAATCGAGGTCTGCTGCTGGCTGAGCTATTACCCAGAACTAAACAGATTTTCCACTTTGTGTCTACCCTGTTATCTCCAACAGTGAGCAGAGGAAAGTGATGGAAGGCCTCCGATAATTATAATGGTCTCTCCCTTCACTTTACAAGTAATGATAGCCCTTCACCTTCAGCAGGAAATCGCCCTGAATTTATGCCCACACTCAAATAGGACGCAGATCAGGTCATGAGCATACACACACACACGCGCACACCTCACCTGTTCCAGTTTCCAGTGGAACTCAGCAGGTCTGAAAGTGTCGACCTGAGTGAAATCTCTCCTGAGCAGGAACACCAGGCGGCAGTTGTGAACATACAGAGAGTAATGGTGGCGGTTCATCTCTGAAACAGTAACATCACAGACATACATGGTCATGCAAACACACTTTTAAACACAATTCTACATCATAAAGCTTAATAATCAAAAAGATTATTCCCTCTGTTTCGAGGGCAATAAACTGATGCACCTGCTCCTTCAATTTGTTTTGGAGTTTGACTTTCTTTTCCTTTTGCGAGGAGCCTCTGGTTGCCTTTGTGTTGTTTCTTGCGAGTGTTGGTAGACTTATTTTTGGTGCTAATATATTGTACATTGTGGAGGAGGATATCACAGTAAGCATGTTGCACAATTGATGCAATTTACATTTGAAATAAAGTGAAAAAAGTGACCGTATCCAATCCTATATATATTATGTTTATCCTTTGAGTGATGTAGAAGGTCCTGGAGTCGATCCCTGCTGACATAGGGCGACACCCAGAGCAGTCCATCACAATATTATCAATATCATTATTTCTTAGTTCTTATAACTGTATTGTGCATTGGAATATCAGAACTCAACTCAACATTATATTATAACAGAGAGTACTTTTTTCTAAATATATACATAAACTGTATATTTTCTATATATATATATATACACTATATATATATATATTTGCAAGTGACACATAAAATGTCATAATGGAACTAATTTACTTTCTGAAAAATTTGGTAATTACCCAAATAGGTCGTGATTGAGAGAGATAGTGCTTTGAGAATTATGATAGTCTCCTCCACTTACTATATATCACATAGAACCTTCACACACCATATTACACATATCATATTCTTTAGGCAAAACATTATAAAGGATGATAACATTCTGGTGGTCCAACATACACTTCTCTGCAGTTTAGCACTGCAACATCAGAATACACAATTCCTGAGCCAACAGGCCATCAGTGAGAGCACTGTGAAAGCATGCAATTTGTAGCTCACTTAATTACACAGCTCAGGCAGCTCAGTTCAGACACTGAATGGGTAAAAGTCAAGAGTTTCAAAGAGCATTTGCTTTTGTCAACGTCAGTCTAAGTCTTAATTATTGTGTTATTTAAAAGGAGGTGATGGTTAATGGTGTTTATGGCATATCCTTTGCAGAAGACAGACATTTAAGTATAACAGTTTTTAGCAGTGATTCTACAGAAACAGCATATTGCTGCTAAAATGTGAGAAAATGCAAAAAGTCAAATTTTTTATTTCAGTTAATTGCAAGTTAATTAAAAATAGTCTCCAACCTGTCTTGTCAGAGTTACACAGTAAGGTTTCCTTCTCTGCTCTGAGCCCCGGACTGGGCCCGTGTTTCATCCACGTTGCTATGGTGAACTGGTCTGTTAGGTTTTGGGGCACCACGTGATCGGGAACATTGGCGGCCTGGTGCCCGTCGAATCTGTAGATGAGGTCACTGTCTCGCCCACTGTCAGTCAGCAGAGACGCTGTCCAGTTTGTGGAAGGGCTGGGGGCAGGAAGGAGGTCGGTGCTGCCAGATGCTGCACCTGGATGTGCCAGTCAGAGGAGAGGACACTGTCAGGACGACTCCACAGAGAATAAACCTGGAGAGAAGCTGCTTCCTCATGTGTCACTTCATGCCCTAATGCTGTGTGTGGGTGTGTGTGTGTTTCTGTGTGTGGGTGTGTGTGTGTGTGTCTGTGTGTGTGTGTGTGTTTTACCTCTGTATGAAACATTCCTCTATAAATAACTGTATGTATTTGTTAGTGGTCAGTATGTTTGCTGTATTTTGATATTAATGAAACGTTTGTGATAAAAAGAAAATAAAGATTATATAACCATGGTTCTTAGACAACCTATATTAATATTTTCAACTTTCAAAAAGCTTTGTTGACCATGTTTATAGTTTTTCATAATAAAAACAAAATCTGTTTCTTGTGAGTTTTAGGGTCCAATATATTGATATTCTTTCTAATTGACTAATTGTCTGTTAATATAGACAATGTTGTGCTGACAAAAGTAACTAATCAATGGCATTACAAAAGCATTAAAAACAACCACAATGGCCCAGGATTTCTAAAGGTTAAGATGTTACCCCTGTCAATGAGATTAAGTACATACAAATGAAAATCCAACATATTTTTCCCATTTCTTTCATAATGAATCAAGATTCTTGATTGGTTGAAATTATCTGGCCTCTCAAGGGAAATATTGAGTTTATGTTTTACATTTACTGTATGCATTACAGTGGATATCTGTGTTCGAGGGTATGAGAGGGAAGTTACAAATGTGTCACAGTTAAATAAGACTCTGGAATTTAATTAGAAATAAAAATTATTCAAAAGTCTCCAGGATTAAAATTGCACACTGAAAATTGGCATATTAATATACCACAGAAGTTAAGACGTCAAGAGGTAATTTCTACTTTAAATTAAAATGTTCCTCATTTCTCATTATTATTTCTACTCTTCAGTCCCTGACAGCACCTCACTATTTCAACAAGGTCTTTATTTCCTCACACATTTCATGTTCCACACTTATGCTAATTACCTCTTTTCTCAAAGTTTTTATTTCTTTTTTCTTACCACAGAGTTTTTGAAGAGACTTTTCAGAGTACGTTTCACGGTCACAGCCCTTCCCGATGTGATTGGTCTGCAGCTCTACCATCGCCCTCACGCCGGACAGGGGACCACCGCAGGTTTCCAAGCGCATCTTGGGAAACAGTTGCTTGCTGCCGGTCCCTGGTTCATAGTCCACCCGCTTGTTCCAACCTTAAAGGATCAAAAGATGAACAGTTCACCTAAACAGACCTTTTTCTTTAGGTTTCTGCTGACTAGTGCTTCATCGAGTCCTTTACACCAAATATCTAAATGTCAGTAACATCGATATCATTCTATAACTAAAACATGGGAGTTATGTACAGACAACATGAACACGTAATGCCTTCAACCACTGGCTGTCACCGGCACAGAAAAAATACTTTTACCCACAGAAAACCCATGCAGACAAAAGGAGAATATGCAAACTCCGTAAAGAAAGAGCCTGACCCAACTGGTATTCAAACCAACCTCTTGATGTGAAATTCGTTCATTCTAGGTCTTCTCTTCTTGCTAACCTTGTTGTCTTTTATTCTACATTAAAAACAAGAATAAAACTCCATGTTCCACAAGTGTTGGCTCTTGAAACGATGACAGGCGACCACACAGGTTGGTGACCTGAGGGCCTGGAATTGTCTGTGACACGTCAAAAGTCGACTGAAATGGTCCAGTAACATGACAGACCTGATAGAAAGGGGTGCCCCCCTCCTTGTATCTGTCAGTCCTGTTGCCTGGTGTTACATTTTCATTACCCAGGTGTTATATTTATCCTCAATGTGTGCGAGAATCCCTAAATCTGGAGGTGAAGGGGATTTGAAAGTGTGTGTGTGTGTGTGTGTGTGTGTGTGTGTGTGTGTGTGTGTGTGTGTGTGTGTGTGTGTGCAGGTGGACACCTAGCAGCTCCTGCCAAGCCCACAGAATATAATATCAGGTCTCCTGTGACAAACATTCAAAGAGAGAAATGGACTGTGATTATGAGGGCGAGGAGGAGTGAGGATTCAGGTGGAGCGAGACATATTTAGCCTCCATTTGTGCCGGGAGCCTTCTTCAAAAAAAGCAGCACTGACCTTTACACACATGATAAATAAGGTTATGTACAAAAGGACTTGATATTGTGTGCATCAGTGCAATGTTTTATTCATGGCTTCAAGCTACGATGGGTTAATGGTTTTACAAGTGGATTATGCAGTGTGTCTCCATTTTATGGAGTCAAACTGCAAAGAATCATGCAACATTGATGAGAATGTTAGCAGGCTGTGATAGCACATGTTTCTTTCTGGATCAAATGTAGTGTAGGGAGCTGGCAGCGCCTGTGAAGCCATCTAGAAAATGATTGTGTCTCCAAAAGCAAAAGCTTGAACTTTGCAGACGCATTTCTTATTTTGTTGTCGGCTGCTTTCTGTCCAATGTTTCTTGACATCAAAATGCCACATGTCCCCTCCACTCTTAAACTTTCTCTGTCTGCGTGCTACAATTTGGATATCTACATGAAGATGACATTAACATAAAGCAGCATGCCATTTCAGACGACTTCTCTCCTAACCATTGTACTATTTCTGTCAGCATCTCCACCCCCTCTGTGACGTGCACTGACATTTCCTTCAATAAGTGTCCCTAAAGCCTAAACAACTGGCATTCGTGACATTTTCAAAGCATGGTCTCTTCGGATTAATTGTCTGTAACATCATCTCTGCTGAGTGATTGTTTTCTCCTACTTAATTATCATCTTTCGAAATTGTGGACACGAAGCGGGATTTTGAGCCATTACCTAATCAAACCATCAGTTTACACCATGGATAAGGATGACAAGGCAATCAAGATGATTCAGCTTTACTTTTTTTTCTTTGTATGAAGTGTGTTCTACTGTTGAGGAGAGCTTCATGTATCCCTGCACTTATATCAGTTGAGATGTGCTTACAGCGGTGACTGATTGCCCCTTGTTTCACCTCTCAGGATACAAAGAGGCTGCTGCCCTGAATGTTTGCATATTATATTTTCCTGTGAGAAGAAAAAATGACTCGACTGTATATTTTGTTTATAATTAATAGGCTACTTTCTGAAAAAGATGTGTGACCAGCATCAATCCAACATAAGGCAGTAAAGCAGAGAGCTCTCTGTATGAATAAATTATGTTATTAGTGAATTGGTGTAGTGTTTATTAGTACAAAAAGCAAGGCACTTCTCAATTAGGAAGTCGTATCACCAGTTTCATAATAATGCGCTAGATTGATATAATATAAATGCAGAAAATGTGTTGTATTCTAGTCAGGACTAATACTGATATTGACGAGACCGGAAACCTGGAATAATTCAGAATCAAGAAATCAGCATGATAAATACTCAGGCAGGTAATACAGGGGAGTGATAGCGTCCCACTTAGGCCAAAGGTAAGAAGCCAGATATAGAACAAAATAGAATTACATTTCTATTTTCGTCCTCTTTTGGAAGAGACTTTGCTCGGCTTACACCACCTCTCTCCTGCTTATTTCCACAGGCTTCAAATGTCCAATAACACTTCAGAAAATGATATTCACTCAGCATTTGAATTATGAATAACCAAGAGTTGTTTTGTGTCATCCTTGGATTGATTCATCTTGGAGCTTTACCAGAATATGATGGGAATGTATGAATCTGTTAGGGGGGATCTGGTCATGAATTTTAAAGCATCACTACGATGTCTTGCAATTATTTAGTTTTACTGACTGATTTATTTTGGTTGGTTCATTTACCTGCACCCACATTTTTTCAAGTCTGCAAGAATAACCATTACCTCTTCTCTATATCTCTGTTTCCCTCTGCCCTCCCCTGATCATTCGGTCTCTTTCTTTATGTCTCTTTCTCCCTCCCTTCTCTTTCCCCTCTCCTCTCTTATCTTTCTCTGTCTTCTGCTTTCATTCCTGACTCTTGAGATGCTGTCAGTGCTGACAGGTGGAGCAGCAGGGGAGACGAGACTGGCTCGAATGCCAAGCTGCTGGCATGTTATAGGAGGGAGAGGGAAAAAAACACATATACACTCCAGTCAACTTTCCCTCTGGAGGGTTCTGTCAGGTCTTCTGATTTCCTCAAGAGACATTCAGTCTAAAATGAAATGGAATTCCCTCGAGGGAAAGGATGTGTTTAAAAACTGCTCTGAACTGGCTGCTTCAATTTGGAAGATGTTACTTTACATTTAAGTACATTTAAAGAATATGTCAGTGCACTTAGAAATAAGTACATTTTCATCAAGTACCCTGAGGTAGATTAAAGCATTGAGCAAATACTTCTCCGCCTTTTTCTTTTTCTCTGACCTTGCCATCCGGGTTTGCAGACAGGCTTGACATCAATATGCACAGCCACATCCTCCTTTGCTCTCTTCTGACCACAGTCAAAGGCTGTCACCATGATCTTGTAACTCTGCTGCTTGTCATAGCTCAGTCGCTCTGTGTTTCTGATGTTACCTAAAGGAAAAAACAACAAGGTAGAAATATGATTATCCAGAAAAATGACCAGTTATGTTTATTTAATAACAATAAGTTGAGAAACAGAGCAATAACTAAATACGACTTTACATTAAAGAAACTGTGACACATTTACAAATGACTCTCACTGAAGACTTTTATTAAAAACTCAAGGTCCTGCAACCTTGTGCTGTATTTTAATATCAAAGCCTCTCTGTAAACAGTCGATTCCACCATGGTAACAGTGTATCTCACTCTAACAGTGTAAGTAAGAGTGATATAAAGGAGATGCAGCACTAGATATGTTCATATACTGAAGTTACTGTAATCAAACAATGCAAACATCTTCTGGCTAACTTTAGTAGATGTTTAAAGGCCCTGTAAAATGACAATTACATTTTATTGTTAATTTATCTTGTGTTATTTGTCCAAAACCAATACCATTGTACTTTAACATCAAAATCCCTGTATTTTCTCTTCAAGAATAAACTGTTAAATTGCTCATCTTATACGCACGTCTTTTGTATTGATTTTCAATCATGTACATTACAATAACTGTACAGGGGAAAACATTTATTTTGTTTAAATGAGCTTGCGCCACAATATGTCTTACATAAAACCAGAGTTGACCGCAGAGGATACATCCCAAACTATGTATTTACAAAGTTAATCAGAGAGGTTTAATTTGAGCCTCTGCGGGTTGACAGAGTTGAAATCAATATGTGTTCCTTGTTTTATCAATATCTCTCTGCTCTGTTGTGGCCTCTGTCATTTCTATCTTCAGTATCTCTACAGCATTATGATAAGTAACTGGTTTCTCAAAATTGCAGTATGATTTTTACCAAATGTATTAAATCATTTGAGAAAACTATATAGATCCACATGTTTTTGAGTTGCCAACAAGCACAAAAATATTAAGGCTCACAAGGGATTACAGTATGGTAGAACATACTGTCTAGTCTTCTTTACTGACTGAGCGAAATGTTAACAATGCAGCACTGAGTTGCTAGAATGAGTGAATGATGAATATCCTATATCTCTAAAACGTCAGTACATGCGTTCTATAAAATACAGAATGGCTTTAAAACAATTTCATATTCTTAATTTGTCAGTCTCTCCCATCACAGCCCGTCTCCGAGTCTATGAGGACAACTGAAGCTATTTTGGTTGTTAATATCTGGAGGCTTGTGTGTGAAAGGCTGTCACTCTGATTTCCATGAGAGACCAGAGGAGGAGAGAAAAAAAGAGAGAGAAAGAGGGGGAGACAAGAGGAGAGGAAACGGCACTGAGGGAATCAGTGCGGACCACAACAGTACAGGAAAACAGAGCTGAGCTGGAAATGTCAGAAGGAGAAAGGCGAGAAGATCAGAGTCAGACAGTTCTTACAAAATCCTCATCCAATGACAGTTTGATATGCAGCCGGTGAGAACAACAGCAACAGAGAAGATACTTGATATGAACAGGTGGAGTTTAAGGAGATATTTGGATTTGACAGGACATTTCCGATTCTTGATTATCTTTGGGATCTAACAGCATTTTCTCCAGCAGACACGTTTACAACAATACATGAATCTCCAGAGTGTGATGCATCCTGCTGAGGATCTACTGCTGGGTACTCATATTAGCTCCTATGGACATTCTGTGGACATTTTACCAGGGGCACTGGCCGGAGAATTTCTGCAGAAAGACCAGAGGCTCTTACTCGGACATTTGCCTTTTCACATATATCCCCTCTGAAGAATGTCTGGCGGTTCTCTGGAGTTCAGTGCATGTCTTGATTACAGAGACAGTTTTACACACAGTAAAAGTTCAGTTTACTTGTCACAATAGTGTCTGAGAACACAGTTACACACTGAGGCTCTGGGATGAGCTTTGAAAAGCTCATATGAATGAAGGACAAAAACCCCATGTCCTCACATCACTCAGCATAACAAAGAGAAGTACTGATGTCTATCTGGGTCAGCAGTTGTCCCTATAGTCCTGACAAGGTACTCATTAAATAACGTTCCAAAAATATGATCAGCCCAGGGAAACCACTGCTCACATCATCTTTGTTGTGGTAAATAAAAGGAATTAGAGGCAGAAAGCCTGGATTGTGTATTGTTCCATGTATTGTTTACAACTGACTCTGCTTACAGGAAAGCAAAGAAAATTAGTATAATCAATGTTAAACTGATTTAAAATGATGGTCAGTGTGGGGGGTTTCAACAAGTTAATTACTAAAGTATGTGTTATTAAAATATAGCATAAGAGATGTCCCAGTCAGCTCCATTTGCAAACAACATCTGATCCCAGAACCCTGCAGAGCTGACTCAGCTGATTCGTAATTATCATCACTTAACAACAGGAAGTGTTAAATTAATTTGGTCTTAATTTACTGTCTCTTTTATGATGCACATTTCGCTCCATATCAGCTCACTACACTGTATACGTCTATGTTTTATCTTGCTCTTCCCTCAGTGCACAAAAAAATCTCCATTGTTCTACAGAGTAGGTCTAACCAATTCTGCATATTGTGTTTTGCTGTGTCTCCCAAGTAATATTATTGTGCCCTGGAGAAGATCAGATCAAATGAGCCAGACCTCTGTAAAATACAGTGAGATAGATCAGACCAGAAGGTTAAACTCAAAAAGCAATGAGACAAAATAATAAATAAGACCCTGAGAGACGTGGAGAGGCAGAGATACAGTGAAGAAAGCAGTGTGGGTGCTTCTGTCTGATCTCTTGGTTGGAGTTCAACACACAAAGCCCTCCAGTCTCCATTCAGTCTGGATTATGCCGCACTCAGATCAGCGCAGTGTAGCTGCGGAGGCTCAGGGAGACGTCGGCTCAAAGCCCAAAGCCGAAATTTCTTATAGGCAGATATGTTCAGAATAGCTCTCAATCAGAAATAAAATACACTCCGCCAGTCGACTATAGGGCCGGTGTGAAGAGCCACGAATAAACATGAGAAAACTGTCATAGATGAAGGTGGATGTTTGTCAAGAAACTTTTGAGTTACACTCATCAAAGCTAATTCACAGATGATAACATCCCTGCAATATGAAGAGCAATCCGTTTCAGTTGTCTGCTTGGTTTTTCCTCTTCATACTGTATTTCTATAGTGTATTCACAACTGCTTGTCCTCTCTGTTGTTTGGTCTACATCCATAAATAGATCATTTGTGAAGTCTCTATTCACAGCCAGCGATACAGTTCTCTACATTGTTCTAGCTCTTACAAACGCATTTGCTGCGGAGCTTCCTACAGTGGTTTCTAGTTTGGCGTCTGCACCACGGCTCATCTCCAGATAAGGTCGTCGGCTCTCTCATGTCTATCTTTAGTGGAGAACATGTTCGTACGAAGTTCAGCTAGCTGTGATCATAGAAAGAACATATGCAAATTCAGCCGAGGGTCTGGCTTCTTCTTCCTTCATCGAGACATTAACCATGCCGTTTGTGTTCAAGTGAGGAAAGAACACGACTGCTATTAGTGTGTTCCACAATACCACATGTCTCAAGAATGAACAGGGGAAAACTGAGGTTCTCCATATTGGCACCAAATCCACCTTAACAAAATCAGACGCTTTTTCCTTCACTATTGATAAATCCTTAGTTCCTCCCTCCCCTCAGGTTAAGAGTCTGGGTGTCATCCTTGACCGCACACTGTCTTTCAAAGCTCACATTAATAATGTAACTCAGTCTGCATACTTCCATCTACGTAACATTCATCGCCTCTGCCCTTCCCTCACACCCAACTGCACCGTCATGCAAGTTCACACCCTGGTTCCTTTCCGCATGGATTACTGTAACTCCCTTCTTTTTGGTCTCTCTCACAAATTCCATCATAAACTTCAACTAGTCCAGAACTCTCCATTTTCAAACCCTGTCTCAAAACCCATCTTGGTAAACTGGCATATCCAGTTTGATTGTTTTCCATTTTCACAAAATCTTTTATTCACTATTTAATTGATCTTTTAGATACACAGTTTTTTCTTTTCTGTCTTGATCTCTGTCTTGTTAGGTGACCTTGAATGTTGTGAAAGGCGCCTATGAATAAAACTTATCATTATTATTATGTAAAGAGGAATTGTGTATCGGTGTTGATGACTAATGAGTATTCAGTGTAATCAAATTAAATGAACTCTGCTCAGCTGAGAATTAATAACTACTATTTTACAATTTGTTTTTAATTCTCTGAACGTGGGCACTATTTTGCTGACAGGCCAAAATGAACCAAAGGGGTTTTTATGGCTATAAAAAAGAAATTGACTGTGGGGCCACCGGGTAAGTTATGTAATCAGTGCTTGCCAGGAACACTGTGTAACGCCGGTAACACCAACCACTCCAGTGCAGTTTAAAATAACCGGTGTCATTTCTCGCAAACGCTGATCTAAAGAGTCGTATGTTAAGGCAGTTATCGAAAAAAAAACGAAAAATAGACAGGCAGACAGATATTCTATTAATGTTTATTTCATTCCAAGCCACATTAGAAACACAAACACACTTACCATTGCGGTCTATGGCAAATGGTGTCCCTGCAGTTACTATTTCATAGTTGCAGATTTGGCTGTATTGTGGTGAACAATCCTGGTCCCATGCTTCCACCTGTAACAATTTCCGTTTACACCAGGGCCATCAACAACTGCTTTGCTAGTAATAACACTAGCAATTAGTGCATGGAATAACATATTCAATTTAGTTTATTTAAGAATTAGCACTTGAAATAATGACAACATTTGCAGAGCACAAAGTCAAGCAGTTTAACTTCT